ACAGTAAGAAGCTGAAATTATAACTCAATATAACATAAAGGCATGTAACAGAGTAGTTGCGAGAAAATTACCCCCACTCCTTCTATTTTTTCTAACTTCCGCGGCGTAAATCCCAGCGCAGCGTATACACCGGAGTTATCCTATTTCGTATTTGAAAACTATTATACATCAATTTATCAAGTTGCACTTGATATTTTATTCTAGAAGTTGTGTAATAGAAGTCTACTTTTATTTGTAGTTTTACCATACATGTTTTATTTTGCTGTTCAACTTTTTCGATTATAAGAATATTTTTATGTTAAATAACATTCCATGGTAAAATGTACATAAAATTTATATTTTACTTTATCACTTTTATCTTAACCTATTTTCGTAAGGCTTTACAAATAGAATTTAAACGTTACAATTATTATTTATGTCTTTTAGCTGTCGGGAAAATATCAAGATGACTCTGAGATCTTTCCTAAAACAGCATTATTATTCTCATATTTTATGGAGAAAGACGGTAAGATAAAATCTACTCATAAATGTTAAAAACACACGTGCGAAACACTTCATTTGGAACAGAAATATATACTATAGTATTCGACGTTTAACGGTAGCCTCGGTCTATTACCAGCAGCCGTGACTCGACTATCGAGAGTATAAGTATGTAAATATAATTGCGCATCGGGATGTATTTACGCACCAATATATGATATTAAGCTAATTCAATAAAAACAGAGGCACGTTGCGCGAGTCAAGCGTAATTAAATTTATAAGGCGATCGTCCAGGCCTAACTCAAGTTTTTCTTTGATGTACTATATAATTGACAGTAGCATGTATGTATACATTAATTATATACTTACAGCTGCCGTACGTTACATAGTATTTATATTTACAACAAGCACTAATGACAATTATTTGAATTTGAATACATTTCATTACATTATATTTTCACACGCGAATATACACACACACACACGCATGCACGCGCGCACGCACACACGCACGCACGCACACACGTACGCACGCACGCACGCACGCACGCACATATACCGCGCCAATTTTTTCGCGAAATAAGGAACGGAAAAAAATCATGAAAATAAAGATCAAAGAATAACCGATGGTTATTCTAAATTTTATTCATATAATAAAAGAAATAAAAAATAGATTTTTCTTTGATGACATGACACTTATTTAGGACTCGATGAGAAGTAAAGCTCATTATTTTCACATCAGACAGGAGGATCCATCAAGCTTCAGCTTGATCGTGCAAAGCGCCCACCTACCTGGGTGCTCCACGTTTATCACGCAACTGAGCTCGGTTCTTCCGCGGCTCATCGAATAATAGCAGACCTACTAACGCCGACCTACTAACATCAGTCACCGGCGTCGGCGATATGTGCATGGATTCCTGGTGAAGCGAATTAAAAACGGAATCCGAGTCTTTCCGCATGCATGATCTTTTTTAAGATTTTTATGGAATCATTATTAGGTTCTCTCTTGAAGATGTCCGCTATTTTGATAATATTCCTTCTCGAAAAACCTTTAACTCTTTAAATAGCACTGAACTCCGCATTAGCGCGATCTAACCTTGAATGGAATTATTGTTAAATCAGTCTATATTTTCTGATAATTTATGTTATTTTTGCTATTTAGAAACTTCTTTAATAATTAACAAGTAATCACTATTAATATTGAAAATCTATAATTTATATTCCTCATGTGCATACCATGGATTTTCAACACTGGAAGTGAATCTTGAAATACACCTTTTGTAATAACGACATTAATGTTTAAAAAGAATTAGTTTAATCTATATTCATATAAATGAGTACTAAAATATAAAAATATTAAATATTAATAAAGAATTAGAAAAATTATTAGATAAGTTTATAATATAAAATTAATATAAAATTAATATAAAGAAAAACTTGCTCCATATATTATATATGTATACAAATTAGTTTAGACAGTTTCAAGTTTTATATTTAATATTTGTCATTTAATATTTTAGTATAACATTTATACATTAATTATCAAGTAATGTATTATAATTTTAAAATTTAATATATAACTTTATTTTAATATTACAACAGTAACGAAAGTTTGACAAATCATACTTTTTTCAAGTAACGATAATGGTAACGCGTTACTTTTTAAAATTGAGTAAAAAACAATAAGTAACGATAACATAAGTTAATTTTTACAAGAAGTAACTGTAACGCTAACTCATTACTTATTTTTTAAGGTAACTTTCCCAACTCTGCTTTTGTATATGCAGAATAATTGTACGGCGTGTGTGTAGACGTATATATGTAATATTTGTTTATTCGAAATTATACAATATACAAAATATAAATGTATAAACTTTTGACTATTAAAGCAGTACTGGAATTTAAATATATGTACATATAGAACGTAAATCAGAGTGAATGAACCAATTTTTTACGTAAATCAGAGTAATTGAACCAATTTTTTACTCTATGAGAAAATTATCGAATGCGTAAGTAACAGCAAAAGGAAACCTGATGAATGGACATCCCAGCCTTTTTCGTGTACCAACGTAGGGTAATGTCCATGTTTTTGTAGTTCTTTTCCATACTATTACAAAGATTAGACAAAGACGGATAATCAACTTTGATTGTTCGTTCTTGTCTAACCCATGTATGTAATAGTACAGAAAAACCATAAAAACGTGGACATTATGGGAAGGCTCCGATTGCACACATTGCATGTTGCACACATGCGTCGCTAATTGGCTAATTTAAAAATAAAATATTCTCATTGGTAAAGCAGTGAAAAATTACTAGGCACCAGCTGATATGAGTGGTGTGTGCAATCGGGATTGTAAGCAAACGGGATCCTCCCGACATTATCCTACGAGGTTTGGTACATGAAAAAGGCCGGGATGTCCATTATTATAGCGATTTCGGCTGGAAACACCAACGTGCATTGGTGCATATCAAGACCGTTGTATACTGTTAAGTCCGGATCTACAATAGGTTTTTAAGACTTAAGCCATAAGAAATGGACGAATCACAGTCGATTATTCCCCTCGGATTCTACTATAATTGGTTAATTTCTTACGGCTTAAGTCTTAAAACATCTATTGTATATCCGGACTTATACCTTCCACCGCGGCAGTGTATGTTTCGTCAGGCGAACACGAGATTCACAAAATGTGAACCTCATTAACCTACAGAACTCACTGTTTCATCGGACATTATTCGACGCGTTTTTGCATGAAATGAAAGAATCTGGCAAAAAAAACGTCGCTCTGCCTTATGATCTGAGATATTAAGCGTTAAAGTTGATGACTATTGAAGGTTAGTAGGAAATCTGTCACAGAGGCAAAATGAGGTTTATAATTGTACTGTTCCACATGGGTTTCGACTTCTTCAATGTAATTTTTAATTTTCGCTCTGCCTTTTTTTATGTTCTATCAATATTAATTCGTTATCGTCACTTGATGACGATGATGTCAAAAATTCCATGAGCACATATAAATCACTCATGATAAAATCAAAATTGACGCTACAAGGATAAGAAAAAAATAAGAAAAAGTAATAATAGAATCAATTGCTGGCATATATGTAGTTATTATAATAACAAAAAATAATTAATGGTTGAAATTATTTTAATGGTTGAATTCAAATATCTTATATATATAAATTTAAAACAGATAACACTACAGTTTTGGCAACCTGCGAGTGACTCTACATTGGACGATCGTTGAAGTTTTATTTGGTTAAGAAATTTGCTGATGAAGATTCCAAAGAGAATCGAAACGTTCAAGATGTCAATATTTCAAATAAAGATGAGATCAACACATCACATGAAGTAACAAATTTTATCTGTGAAGATTTATTGCGCACCTTCGCTCGCGCTGACTCTCATTAGTCCACATTTAGGTTATTTTTTTGTTATTTTAAGAAGAGAGAGTCCTTGTTTAAGATATTTATTAATTTGTAGTTATTATAATATCAAATTTCCAAATTCCATTTAATTGTAAACATTAAATTTGAGATAATTGCTCTGAGAAATTTATTCCTACAAAACTCACAAAACGCGGACACCACAAATGCTTTTACACTTCAACGCTTAACTATTGTCAATGCTTGTGCTGCTCTTATCAAAGATAAAGTTCATCGTCCCTCAGAGTTCACCAGTCGTTATTATACTTGAAGAAAATATAGCAATCGACCGAATGTAACACACTTCGATACGCTATTAATAACGACGACCATATTTTAGCGTGAGATTCTTGAATCACAGCGGAGCAATAATAATTTTAAGGTACATATAAGCATTTCCCTTTGTGGAAGGTCGCGCAATTTTCGCTGCGTGAAGTGACTATAGGAAGTATGATAATCGGCTAGCTTTATAGACTCATAGACCATGCAGTTTTTGTGGCATAATCGTCAATCGATACAAATCAATTCTCGTAGATCTATAATCGTCAAGAATAACGGTTATAGAAAGTATACTTATAACACAACTTGCAAAGCTGCTCAAGAGATTTTGTTTTATTCATAAATACGTAGTGTGGCAATAAAGTTTGGTGAGTGTTATGAGAAAATATACACCATTTAGGCCCAGTTGCACCAACGTTACTTCGACTTTAAGCTAGACTTAAAACTGTATCCGTCTCATTTTAAAGCTCCTCCCGAAAGGGAGGAACAGATAGAGAGAATTTTAAGCCTCGCTTAAGTGTTAACGTAATGTTGGTGCAATCGGGCCTTAATTAATATACAAAAGTGACCTTTAATGTCCTTCCCCTAAGTAATCCCTCGGCCCTAAAGACAATATATTCTGACAATGTGTTTGTAGGTTTGTACAATTTGTGGAAACTCTGTGAAATAATATCATAATAAAGTATCATTATGACCTGTTTTTTTTGTTATAAGTTCATTTTTAAGTATTAAATGACGTCGTGATATATGATTCATTATAACTTAATTAATTATGAGTCTGTGTTCTGTCTAGGATTTTGATTCAAAACTTGTACGTTCTTCGTGAATCAACCTTGTATTGACGTTTTAAATCATTCTCCCCACATCCCCGATCTTGCTCCAGCAAACTTCTTTTTGTTCCCTAAATTAATGGAGACGATGAAAGGAATTCAATTTACAAATGTTTCCAACATACTGTATAAAATAAGATTTAAAGCGATATTCAAAGATAACTTTTCACAAAGTTTCCGCAAACTGTACAAACGTTATCAGAAGTATATTATCATTTTTATATAATATTAATTAAGTGGTGTTTATTTTTCATATCATTCACCGAACTTTATTATTACACCACGCGCGTATATTTGATTTTGCCATTGTATTTGAAGATCTTTTTTTATTATAGTGAAAATTATGCGCAAACTAAAAAATTCAATTACATTTTCTACACATTAATTAATTGTAGAAAAAACTTTAGACAATTAATATTGTGAATGATAAAGTATATTTTATAACAAAGAATGTAATAGAATTCAGGTCAAAGACGAACAAAAAAATGATATTATTATATATATTTAAAAAGTCAATATATAAAAAAATCAGCGAAACTAGTTTCGATTTACAAAAATCTTTACATAGTCACGTATTAATTTCAAAAATTAAAATTTATCAATGTAAAATCGCAAATTACATAATTGAAATGGTCAGAATGAAAAGTGAATTGTCCTTCACCTGTCACGTCACGCTCTTTCAACTTGACGTTTCATGATCTGATTGTGATTTTAATTCTTATTCATAATTTTCCGTATTAATTACGTAAATATAACAGCAAGATTGGAATTATTATTACGGTTAAGATTTCCGTTCTCGATCACCAACAACTCTCGATCACCTCTACTTTATAATAATATTGTTTCGAGTGCATATATCCTGTCCAAGTTGAAATAATCCTACTTTCTCAATCTCTTTCAACTCCAATTAAACCTTACAAACCTGTTTTGATACTTAAACAATCAAATAGGACCTCTTTTGATATTATTTCATCTACAGGTTCTATTTAGAAAACTTCTTTTGAACCTAAAAATAGGAAATTTTCCAATAACTGTCATTTACATGCTTAACGTAAGAGCTCAATTCATAAGATTAGAACCTATTATAAATCTCTAGAGTCTATAACATACGTCCTAATTATAAGTTTTTAGAGTTTACATATGTATCCTAAAACTAAGGTTCAAAACAGGAGCAAAATTTCGACTATATTTATGTAATTAATATAGAGGATTATGAATAAGAATTAAAATTACAGTCAGATCGTGAAACGTCAAGTTGAGAAAGCACTTGGGGACTGGTGACGGACAATTCTTCTTTCATTCTAACCATTTTAATTATATAATTTGCGATTTTACATCGACAAATTTTATTTTTTGTAATTAATATGCGACTGAAGAAGTTTTTTGTAAGTCGAAACTAATTTCGC